TTTGAAACAACTTTTTCCTTAGCGAAAATGTTGTTCGAGGCTTCGTTAAGGAGATATTAAGAGAAAACACCGACCAATCAGAGCGCGCGTATACCGTTGGAGCTAGGCGGCCGCGTTAATGTCCTTCGATGCACGTCGAGTCACTTGTTCGTGTACAAGCGCGCCCACTTAGCTCGTAGCCTTCGCTACCGCGACCGCTCCAACGGTATACGCGCGCTCTGATTGGTCGGTGTTTTCTCTTAATATCTCCTCAACGAAGCCTCGGACAACATTTTCGCTAAGGAAAAAGTTGTTTCAAATCACCTCCCGAATCACCCATTTCAAGGTGTTACAACATTTTTGGGACACCCTGTATAGTTCAATTTTTATAGTTATACCTTACTATTATAACATATAAAATATAAACTTGATCCTTTGACAAAATAGGGTGACCGAAACGATGTCTCAAGCCGAGGGTTAAAAAGACGTTAGCTACACCACTGTTCGACGGCGGTGTTAATTGCACGTTTGCGACAAGATAGCTTATAGTTTAGGTGTAACTAGTAATTTCGAGTTGAAGCTAGAGACGGTAAGCAACGGAATGGCGTAATAACGAGTACACAATAGACGAGGAAACGGCAGGGTTGAAACGCTTGGACGGTTTCTCGTTTGACGGTCACCGGGCGTTGTTTTACAGGGCCAAGAAGGGGCGTCCAATCGCAGTTCGCGAAACCGGATAACTACCCACTTTACGGGTACACACGTGTAATCCCCAGAAATAGTTGTCCCCAAACTGACCCAATTCGGTGACCCGTCTACCTGCCGCCTTCCGACGTTCCACTTAAAATCTGCACTGAAAACGCCGCGCTCAATGGATTGTGTCCAGCACACGCCTCCATTGACTAAAGCTCAAGGTGCTGCGGGAGCCGTGCGAATGAAACGATCTCTGACCTCGTTCCGCGCGCCGTTTCCTTCGTCTAAGAGAAACCATTTTCTTCGTAATTTCACTTAAATATGCACGCGTAGTCGTAGACTAATGTTCGCAATTTATTTGAGAAATTATTTATTCGTCTCAGGAATATCGTGTGCACGCGACGAACATGCTAGAATCGTTACTTTCTTATGAATTACTAAACTTTTATTTGCCATTAAAATTATTATTGAAATTGCAAATATTAATGGCGTTTCTTTAAGAATACAATCTATCAAATAATTAATTCCGCTTTGCCCTAACAGAGGTTCTTATCGCTGTTTGCGATCTTCTTCCCTGCCGGTACCTGTGCCAAGTTAATCTACATATACAGTGGGTGTAGAGTGTATTCGTACACCGATTAATTTCCCAAAAAAACTGTGTAAAATTGTAATTTATTAACTTATTTTTTATAAACAATGATATTCTACGTATTCTCGAAAATCTCTAGAATAGATAGATTAAGTTGCGAAATTAACAAGAAAAAAACAATCAATCGATAGAATTGTTAAAGAAATAAGTATTCGCACAACTGTTTAATTTTTAAAACTTGATTTAAAAAAAAAAGAAAATTACTACACTTATTGCTTCTATGCTAGTAAAAGCTTTTACCCAGTTTTCACATGTTTTTGTTAATTTCACAAATTATATCAACTAGTAAATGTTGCGTGGACTATATTCTAGAGATTTCCGAGAATATGTAGAATATCATCGATTATAAAAAAAAGGGGAAGTTAAGAAACTACAATTTCACACAAAAGTTGTTTGAGAAATTGATCGGTGTACGAATACATTCTACACCCACTGTAATTTGCCCACCGAAGAAAATACGTACGGGTTGCTCGCAGAATAATTGCAATAAAACCAAAACGGAGGTTCTCGAATGACGAGACACGAGGAGTTGAACGGTTAGACCAGAGACTAAAACCGGAATGACACCGTTAATTAAGGGTGGAACAGGAAATCCGTCGAAATGCAACTAGTTATAACTAAGCAACATGTACTTAACAATTCTCAGTAGTCGCCCGTTCGCGTTAATTATTCCGTGTTTCTACATTCGTCTTACTAATTAGTAATTAGCTTCTCTTCGCGTGGATTTTCGCGCAAATGGAATCTGTCGTATTTAACGGGAAAGTTGCATGTGCTTTTCCAATTAAAACTACCTCCTCTGAAAACTGTCTGTCCTACGGAAGATCCGCCGAGGAGATTGCATCGCATTGATCGATATGCGTTGTTGCGTTTATAATTAGCGGGGCAGCGCCGATGAAATTAATTCAGATTAAAAGAAAACGACCTGAACTAATGACAGGACGCTACCGATGCCGACGCTAACGGCCACGGCTGTTTCGGCTACGACGACAATTGCGCGTGTGCTTTACAAGCTACGTAAATTTACGTATTACAAGCTAGTGCAAAATTGTTATCGTGGCATCAATGAAATTACACGTATTAATAGAACGGTAACTGGATCGACTCTGAGAACCACGAGAATCTGAATAATTTCTAGATACCGAACGGTAAGGTTCTCGGTTTATAAACAACTCGTTAACATCAACATTTTGTAATTTTACGTAGCGCGCGACGAGCATGCAAACAGGCGCCATTACGATTCAGCCATCTTTTTATGGCGCGATATAATAACTAGACTGCGGATCTTTATGCATTTATAGGAAATCTGAACGTGCAAGAAACTACAAAAACCGAACAATGTGTAAGAATATAAAAAAGATCGAAAGTAAAGTTCATATTATAATATTAGGTTTTCCGAAAAGTTTCTTTCGCTTTATTAATAAGTAATACATGCACAATATTTTATGTTTTATGTTACATTACTGAATCGTGCACGATTCATTTTGCTCCATTACTGTTACAACATGAATATCTATGAAATTAGATGGTCTACCTATATAAACACGACCGCATAAAATAATCGAGTGCAACTCGCGAAAGAAACTTTCGGGACAACCTAATATTTGCAGAATGAAATAAATTCCTATTTAGGTTCAATTTTTGTAGGAACGTTCGCGAAGATTTTATTTTGCATAAAGATCCGGCAGTCTAATAATAACCAAAACCCCGCGAAACCCAGAAATATCTTTGACACTCAGAGGTTTCCCGACGATTAGCTGCCGAGTCCGTCGTTTCGCGTTTCACCGGTCACCCTTCAACCCCCGTCGGTCCATATGTCCACCAACGAACCACCCCCGCCGCCGTTGGACTCCGATGGCTCTTGTGTAACTATGCCTCTCTCTCCTCTTTTTCGCTTTATCGCTATCTATCCTTCCCCTTTTTTCCATATCATCGGCTCTATCTGGGCTCCCCTTTCTCTCGGCCTCCGCCATCGTTCGTTTCTCCGCCTCTCTCGGTGCCATTGAAAGCCCCCGCAACACGTCTATGTCTAAACGCCAGTGAATAAAAGCTCGAAGCCAGCCAAGTGAGTATACGCTCCGTCACTTCTAATTTTAGCACAAAGGGTGCGCCGAGCCTGTGTTATGTGTACACGTTTTCGCGAGAACGCGCTTACTTGTGTGAACACGCGCCTGTGCAAATGTAAACATGCATGTACACGTGGCTGCGCCTGTAGATGTACGTATTAGTATGTTTGTGTGGTGTTGGTGCGCGTATGCGTGAGCTTGTGTCTCCGTAGGTGTGTATATCGGTGTGTACGTGTGTTTGTATATGTATGTGTGTATAGATGTGTGTGATTGTGTTTGTGCTTCGTCCAACACGATGGTGGCAGTCGAGGGGGTAAAATATCTACCTATGGATTTCCAGCAGCGCCGATGGCGTTCGCCATTTTTATAGACTTCTTTGCCTTCTTCCCCGACGATCGGGCCTGATTCGAGTGAAACGCGATTTCCGTCTCACTGCGTATTGGCGGAACGCTGCCTGTCCGTTCCGTTATCGGGGGAAAATTGGAATTTCGCGAGATAGGGGCGCCTGTGCACAGTTCATAAACAGAGCCGATTACCTATTAGCGGAGCCGCCACGCCGTTAAAGCAAACGTGAAATGCAACGGGGTCCGAATAAACTGTGGCCAGAGAGCTCGCCGTGTCTAATGGACGGCTTTACTCAAAGTGAAATTTTAAAATGGTGATTTTAATATGTTGTTTATTTATAGAACGGGGAAACATTTCATATGCGGAGAAGCAGTGCCGTATTTAACTGTTTCACTGCTGAAAGAGCTGTGGAGTAATAAAAGAAACTAGATGACGTAGCTTAGGATTATAAAAAGTTTGTATAAATTATACTTTATGGGTTTTCCGGGAGCATAAAACACGATTTTCTCGAGCAGTTGTGGACTTTTAGTGTGATCGTTAAGTATTTGGTGGACTGGAAAGTAATGTTTTTTCAATTTGAAATACTTGTTTATCACTCAATAGCTCATTGATTTTTATCGATCTAGCATTCAACATTTTTACTCTAAATGGCAAAAGGCTGTTGATAACGAGAGCGATTATATAATTGATTAAAAGAAGGAATTTATTAAAAATTTGTTTGAATTTAATGTAAAATAAACGACATTACTTTCCAGTCCAGAATAAATAAATGTATCAGAATCTATACGAATAAATAGGAATGTCTAGTTGTTTAAATAGAAGTTCGATTGTTTTTCTGGAGTTCAAGTGTAAATTCCCTTTCCGTTTATTGTTTGAATACAAATTTTTCCAAATCTATCACCGATGCGTTCAGGTGCAAGCAAGGAGAGATACCGATCTTTCACCTACCTCTCTGTCAGGTTGTCGGAGCTCGGCTCTGACGCAGTGACAGCCTAACAGCGCCGCACTATCAGTTCCACGTATCCAGCAAAGTAACAGACGTGCAAGATCGTATACTGTGAAGAGAGAATCGATTGAGTAACGTGGTTAGAGACTCTGGTCAACATTCTCTGCCATTTCCTGAGAACTTTTCCTCTATGAAAAACTTTTATTGCTATACATATAAATAATGAATTTACTTATTTTGTATACTTATCATTAACCCTCTTCCTCTGTAATTTTCTTTCGTCTCCTCATACGTATATATACAGTGGGTGTAGAATGTATTCGTACACCGATCAATTTCTCCAAAAAACTTTTGTGTGAAATTGTAGTTTCTTAACTTCCCTTTTTTTTAATAATCAATAATATTTTACATATTCTCGAAAGTCTCTGAGATAGATATAGTCCAAACAACATCTGCTAGTTACTAGTTACTCTTGATCTACGCTACTCCCAATTCTGATAAAATTCCAATTTGCATAGAGACCGAGCTCGTTCTTCATTCTTCCCGCGTCCTGAGCGTCGAGTCGCGTTCGAAGCAACCGCCCTCAGAGGGTTTGAGGGAAGGTTTCCGTTGTTGGAAGTTCTGCCACGAACCGAGTCGATTCGTTCATTAACTCTACCACAGTCACGTATCCCTGCGAGAAACAACGATTAACGAGTCCGACCTTTTCGCATCATTCTTCCATCTTATCGAGTAGTCGTACCAGCACCCTCTCGTTTTCTCTCCCACGTCACTATAATTCACTCCGGGCTGCCGCTGACGCTCTCACGGAATACCGAGGATTTTCAGAGCGGTTTTGAAAGAGATTCCACGAGTACGAACAGAAGTGTACACAAGAGTCTCGTTTTCTTTTGAGGCTACCTAATGCCACGGACAAACACGCGTTTGTGCGTTATTGTTCTCTCGTCCCCTACCACGCGAACGTGGTGATATTCGTAAACATTCGTCTGTGAGGTGGAATCGTTCCCTTCGGGAACCGTTTCGTACAGAATTTATCCGTTGTTAGAAAATTTATAATACAGAGATGCCACGATGAGCGGAGCTGACGAACTAAGTGGCTCTGCAAGCTTGCTCTTTCCCGAGGAGCACATTTCCTCTGTCTTGGCATATATTAAACGTTAGGTAATTTGTAGTTTTATTTAGGAAGTTGTTTAAGAAGTCTTGCGTAGGAAATCCTGAGAGAGATCGTGATAAGCTGAGAATGTATGCTGAAGGTATTCAAGACACTCCGTGAAGAAATGTTTCACCATGTTCGAGGAGGTGGACTTATTTTTTAATTCAAATAACCGATACCCTATTAATGATTAACCCACTATAAATTTTCCTCCTCGAATTGCACCACGTCCTGAACGAAAAAAAAAAATGCCAAGCTTAACACAGATGAAACACTGGCGGTGCATGTTTGAAAATTTTCTGAATTTTCCGGTTCCCTGGCTTCCCCAACGAGATGATATTGCAGCGAGTATAAATAACGACAAAGCCGATAAATTTTCAAGCGGTAGAAACACGCCAGCGGAACGCTCGGAAAGGCGGAACAACGGACGGTCATAGTTCCTAATTTCATTTCCCTCGACGATTTCTCGTAATGACGTTTCTAGGTCTCCCTGATAGAATTTTCTGGCCCGCTTTGCCGTCGGCGCGGTTCGATGTAAATGCGTTTCCCTCGAACAACCGTGTCGCGCGCCGAGGAAAAACGCGTCGGAATGGCCGCGCGAAAACGAGACATCGGGACGCACGTATAAGAGACGCGATCGTAATTCCGCGTGCGAAATTCGAATAAATCGGCCAGCCGTGTTCCCAGATCTTCCCATTCGCTCGATCCACCTTTATTGTTCGACGTAGGGAAATTCTCGAGCGCGTGGACGCATCCGCGTGACATTTCGAGCGTACACGCAACGAGGGTGAGGTAAATATATTTTTCGCGCGAGTCAAGCGAACCGAACTCGCATCTTCGAGGCAAAAGATAGTCTACGCTGATCGATTCTTATCCCCTGCGTTCCTGTCTACTTTGCTCGGCACTTTAACGTGCGAAAACTCGGACTGAAAGTTATTAATGCGAAACTGAAGAACTAAGCGTTTGTAATTTCCATATAATTCGCGATATTCTTGTTCGATCTGTGTGAAATTTTGTATGGGTGGTCTTTATGTTACGATGGAAAGTATTAGCTATAGTTATCGTTATAAATTAATATAGAATTAATCTTGAATAATTTAGTTACTTGTACAATTAATACACGTTGAAGTTAAGAATTCATAAGCAATGTACAAATCTTCATTTGCCACAAATTTTACGAATGTCTGCGACCATCTTTAATTCATTGATTCTACTTGAATTTTATACAAATATTTTCTTTTCTTGCGTAGTTACAGATGAACGTTTTACAGATTTAAACGTTTAGTTTTATTCTGTGCGATACTGCGAGCCGTACTCGTAGGAAATTGAAGTTGAATTTAATAAACGGCGCTGATCAATAGATGCGGTGTCATTGTCCTCGACGTCATGCCGAGAGCTTACAATTGCGAAGAAAAATTTGATGAAAGTATATTCCATTCGTGACAGTTTATTTGTCGGAATGCTCTCAAATTTTTAAGAAATATTACCGTAAATTGTATTGACCAAGCAGAAACGTGTCTACTTGATGTTATTTATTAAAATACACGCGAAGGTAATACTCTATGAAACCATAACAGAGAAAATAATAGATAATCATTAATAATTAATTGAATTTATATTCGCAACACGGACCGAGTGTGCAATTGGAACGTGACTCTTCGCTACTCTTCTAATTTAGAATTTCTAGACTTCTTTATCCTTGGCACACTCCAATTTAGTTATTTTTAGATAAGAAAAGTCTACATTCTAATTAAAACCGAGAAGATTTGAAATTCCATTCTGTTCATCGCCCATGTAAACAGCCATTACTGCAGTACAGCTAACAAGTGAATGCACGCAACAGAAGAAATTAAAACTAATACTATATAAATATGGAGAAACCTAGCTTCATCAATTCTAACCTAATATGAAACCATACAACAATAAAAACGTATTTTTCTTCCTTACCGTTCATCGTTAATCATCTTGTCGATATCTTCGCTATAGTTTCAGAGATATCGACTAGCAACGGGTTACGCAACTCACCCCGTATAACGCTCTAATATTCAGTTACCCTCGTCTTTGCTGGTAAATAATTCTCATCCCCGATGTTACGTGTACAACGTGTACCAACAGAATTCTGATCTTGTTGTTTCCCGTTTATAACAAAACTGGTTCAATTAATAATACCAATTAGGTCGATCGTTATTTAGATCGACCCTTTTAATCATGTCCTACGTTATACCGCCGCGAAAATATGTTTCGCGTGTCTTGCTAAATGGTCTTATTAATTAATTAATCGGGAATTAATCAATTAGCGATACTATACGATACGTCTAATTATCTTGTAGCGTGATTAATTCGTGGCTAATCGATTTCGTGATAGAAATGGGAACTTCAATTATTGAATTCACGAATGACGAATAAACCCTCGATTAGATTAAACGCGTTCGAATAACGCTGCAGATCTCTTTCGTTATTCGCGAATGAATCTCTGTTATTCGATCATAATTTTTTATTTATTACTCGAGCTAAAAATGATCCCTAATTTTATCAAACAGACGTAATTTTATCTTCAAAGAAACCCATCGAATCGCAATTATTTACTCGTTACCGTATAAATACGAACAATCGCACGTAATACATTGGTCGTGGTCGCGGAAGCGGCACGAGCAAAATAGATTTTTAAACTCCCCTCTGAAAAGAAAAAGCCAGTTACAGAGAACTCCCCCGTTCTCCCTCCACCCCCGATCGGGAGAACAGTTGACGTCAAAGCGTTCGCGGAGTAAAGGAGCTTTGCTCCCCGCATTTCATAGCTCTCGAGACATAAAATGAAAATAGGAATCGCATCGACCCGACTGACACTTCATCGGCTGTTCGTTCAACCTAATTAGCCGCCCAGGGTGGGGGGTTGAATAAAATTGTCGAAAAGCGACACTCGAAATTAATGGTCGACGCCCGACACCGACGGACGGGGCTGAGAATAATTTGAATTAACCCTCGAACGCGCATAAATGCCTTTTAACGAGCACTTTGGCCACTCGAAGGACGAGGCCTGGCTACGGGAAATTGCGTTGGATTTATTCAATCGTGAAACTGACGAGACTGTTCTCCGTGCAGTTGTGCAAGGATATTCGAAGAAGCGAAAGGAAGGTAATTCGCTTGTCCGACGACGAAAGTCGTCGTTTTCACGGCGAAGAAGTGATCAACGCGACGGATATTCCGTTGTGCCGGGTGCCTAGCGACTTTATAGCTAGCCACGAGGAATAGGGATAGTAGTGACACAGGACCAGGGGAAGTTTTGACGGTATTGATTTCCCCAAGCCCCGGGACCTCGTACCATCTGCAACTCAAACAGCTTGCCTCGGTATACCCTTACGTGTTCCAACCCCGCGATCTCGAGAATCGTACCTACGACCATCCCATGTTTTTAACCAAAAATACCTATCATCCAGTTCTCCGTGCAGTTTGCGACTTTACTATCCTTCGATGGAGCGGTAAACCCGGAACGACAGTTTTGCCGGAACATCGACGGGAGACGATCCTATAAAACCGAAGCTCGAAATTGTTTTGAGACTTGGTGGAATCAAAATAAAGGTAGGGGAGATTCGGGTCGATTGAAACGTGGGTCGATAGGAAGAAGTAAAATAATTTAGAAATGGTTAGCGATAAGGATTGGGCATAGAGGGTTTTTATTTAGGTGTATTGCTTTTTCAACGGGAAAACTAAGTAACTGTTTTCAGTTTGTTCGTTGATCCAAAACTGTTGTTCCTTTTTTCCTGTGTGATTTACATTATCGTAATTAGAAATGTCATAGTTGATTTTAGAATGTTAAACAACTTCCTACAACATTTAGTTTTTTTTACATTATTACTTTAACGTGCCCCAATAGAACATTAAGTTAGATTAATGACATCGACTAATTTAAAACTTATAATATTAAGAAATAAAACTAGCAACTTGAATATAATTGAGTCTACTATAATACAACTATTGGATTGTCCGGAAAGTTCATGCCTATTTTTGATAGGTGGTGCAGGTCTGAATATGTCGAAATGGCTGAAAACAAATAACATATGTATGTACATCTCTTAATAGGTGGAAAGGTTTGTGGAACAAAATAGTAACCATGTAATTCAATAAATATACATATAAATAAATGTATATTATAACTTAAATGTGCCTTTGAAGTTTTCTTAAAAATTGACACGAACTTTCTGGACAACCTAATATATGTACCATTTTGTTCCACAACCTTTTCACCTGTTAAGGAATGTACACATTTTACTTGTTTTCAGCCATTCCGATATATTCAGACCTGTACCGCCTACTAAAAATCGGCATGGACTTTCCAGACAGCCCAATACATAAAGGACTCCTAAAAATGTGTTTTCATCTAAATTTCGAGACATTATTGATTCCCAGCAGCGACATGTCGATTCCGTAATAATAGACTGATTTAAATGATGTTACCATCAATCCGAGCTGAAGGATCGTTATTAAATGAGCTTGGGATAAAACACGGTAATCCTGGACACAATCGAAGTATATATGATACCCGGTGAATAGCCGATGGGCATTACATTTAATAAATACGTCTCCGTTACGGTGTAGATTATTCAGTATTATGGCGCACTACGGATAATCCTGCATCGTCATTATTATTCGCTGTTATACGAGAACACGAAACGCGTGCTGTGGTAGAGATTTACAGCGAGCCGCAAAATTATCAGCACGTACAGAAAATAACATATATGAAAGATAGAAGAAGCTGTAGTAGAGAAGAAGAAGTCGTAGGAGATTTTTCTATGTTTCTCATTTAAAAATTTTAATCATTTCATCCATGGATGATAGAACGAAGTCTAATTCTTCTGTATCATAATTTGTTGTTCTGCTATTCGAATTAATATGTGAAACATGCCACCTTGCTGGCAAAAGTCATTATTCCGTTGCTACGCAACTTTTTAGAACAAACACAAAATCCGCGACACGAACATACGGGATGACCTAATAATTTATACAATCCCAAACCGTAGTATGACAATAATCGATGTTCCACTAGTAATCTTGTATCGAAAGACGTCCTTTTGATAAAGAAATTGATTGAAAAACGAAAGCTGTTCACAATTTCATAATAAAATGCATAGAAATTTTCTTTCATTATTTCCGTTATATTTCATATCTCCGTTTCTCTCTGCGCGTGGTGATAATTTTGTGACTCACTGTATATTCGCCCGGTATAAAGGCTGATTTACATCGCGCTGAATATTTCAATCGTTTCGCGATCCCGCGCTAATAAATTTTTAATCAAACCCGTGCCGGCTGCTGGCGTTTAATTATAGGTTCGATGCGGATAGCAGAGAAACGATGGATACCCAGTCGACGATATTTCCACCAAACGAATCCGATCCAAAGAATCTTGGTGGCACCCTGTGAATATCGCCATTCATTATCAGTCAATCAACAGCGTTGATTAACGCTGATGACCGTTGCATGCATACATTCACGATACAAATAAAGACTTCTGCAATTTAATTCCTTCTTTATTCTCGCTTTAGTTTCTTCTTTATATTCTCAAAAATGTACTATTTTTTTTTTTTTTTTTTTTATGTAAATATAAACTATTACTGAAAAAATGCTTTCATGGGCGAATTCGGTCAATTTGTCAAACGTTAAATTGTCTAATCTTCAACACTCGGTCTCGGGACGAAACGTGAACTTTGTAGAAATTTTCTCGAGTTTTAGTCAAACAGTGAACGCGTTAAAAATTGGACCAAACAAGGAGGAACGGCTGTCGAAGGAGCACGATGCGGTAATGTTGAAGCGAGCGCATATATCCGCCGCGTTCGTTAAAGGAGCCTCCTACCTTTTTACTTTATTTCCGTACGTAATCAATAGACCTTCCAATGGGTCGGTACATTTCCGAAGTGGCGTCTCGACGTTCGCAGGAGTGCCTCCTTTATCGGGGCTGTCGGCGCAGAAACGAGCGAGGAAAAGGATACACGTCCGCGGGAGCGAGATGGAAATTGGCAGCGGCGCGCATGGCACTACATCTTCTTCAAGAATCGCAGGTGCCCGTTTATAAATAACCGACCGCTTATTTATCGCGCTCTATCGGGAAAGAACGACCGAACGAGAGTGGGAATGCGAGCGTTGTTACACGACTATGTATATTTTTGAATACGACAGATTACCTCCGGCAAGGATGTTTGATCGCGTAATGTAGTGGGGGCTTGGAAGTTCATCGAAATGAATTGAGTGGATTTCCGATGGGAAATTATGCGGCTAGAGTTGCCCCATCTATTGGATCGTAAGAATGAAGTATGCGTTTCGTAGAACGGCGCTCTGTAACGTTAGCGTCTTCGCGGATGAATTTTCTAAAATGGAGAAACTTCGACTTAATTTTTTATTTTACGTCGATATTTATTCGGTAGATCTACGTAATTATATGTAATTACTTCGCTTCGATAACCAGGTCTGTATTAATTAATAAACTGGAATAGAGACTTGATTGAAATTGTCTGCACTAACATGAAGCACGTTGAAATTCAACAGGAAAATGTGAAGGTTCGATTTTTATTTACTGTAAGTTTCGCGGAGGAGCACGCGTTTATTAATATTACAGAGCATTTTCCTTGAGAGGCGCAGGCATCGTTTATAAATAAACAGCTTATTTACCGTAGCCCAAGGAAAAAGACAGGATCGTTATCATCGAGTATTTTTAAAAACTGCGCGCGGTGTGCCATTTTACGAATCTAGCTTTACTTTATTCAAAAACAACAAGTTCTACTCAAGTTGCGACGTTAGGTCCTGTGACAAATGAAGCGTTCAACGTGTATTTTTAACACTCTTTGTTGCGAACTTTTCGTGTATCGCGAATAGGATCACATAATCATAATGACTCGAACAACGAACGTTAGTGTTTCTTAAACTTTCTAATTTCACGAAAAATAAAGGAATAAAAATGACAAAGAAGAATTTATGATTATTAATGTTCTTTTTTTTTTGTAAATATCACCATGTCAGGTTCATGTAACTAAAGTACTTGACACACTGTAGAAACTACACCACAATGTAAAAAAAAAAAAAAAGAAACAAAGTGCGTAGGCACGCGAGGTCTAAAAAAGCTGTCATTAAAGTCTAAACTCAAAGAAGCTATTAATAAAATTTACCCTAAAAAATGTTCGTACTAAAACTTAACCTCTATCACCCTATTATATTTCCGCGGAAAGACATAAATTGTCTCGACAAAAAAAAAAAGAAGTATATTTATAGAATTTATTGCTCATCGGGACCAAAGGGAAATATAATTATTATCATACATGAAAATCGGCTTCAAAGCGGAGGAACGTTGAAAATTGTAGGTTGTAAGTGAGCCTCCCGCGTTTCAAATTAAATTAATATTTCCTTCCCTTGAGGAAATGTATATAAACAAAAGCCTGGCTGCGGGCGTGCACCTGCGAGTTGAAAAGTAAAAATGAGAGACCAATGAAAAGTGCAGTTCTTTTAATAAAAGTAATTGCTTTTTTGATAAAACGCTTTGGAAACACGAGAAACGTTTTCTGTATTTACGTAATCGCTTGTTCCGCGTTGGAAATTGGCGTGTTCAACATTTTTATCACGATCGCGTTAAACGTTTTCTAGCCAACTGCAAAACGTTGCATCGGCAACGGAACCTCAGAACACGTTGCTTTAATATCCGCAGCTTTATCCAGAATATTATTTCCTGAAAGTAACGTTGCGCATTCGATGATACTGAGTGCACAAGGTGACCTAAAATACGTGCAACCTTAAAGGAAACGATTCCTCTGAAAAATGTCGGAAATTGCAGATGTGGAACACGGGCATTCGTTTAGTTTCACGATACCAACTCTTAGATTTGAGGTATCTCGAAACAAGAACAAATATTTTTTGTATAAAATAGAGAATTTCAAATGTTGTGCTACTTTCTATGTATACCAATTTTACTTTGATAAATTTGCCTAATAATTCCCATCAGTTCCGCCGTTCCAAATTCTACCAGTACTAAATATTTCAGACCGAACTAAACTAAAACATTAATAAACCACAAAGGCTTGCTCCGAAGTCTGTAAAATTGTCTCTTTAGCGACTGTTGAGAACGTCGCAATCTCTATTCGAGTTTATTCTTTTCAGGATTATTAGTTTTACAGGCTGTACCCAAACAGAGTAGCCATTAAACTGAGTCGAGTGCGAGCGTGGCTGGCGTCTTTAGAGAATCCATTTTCTCGTTACGGAAGGCTCGTAAAAAGAAATTTTATTACACAATTCCTACTTTCTCGGGAGAAGCCGCCTTTTCTCGGATTATGCCGCGTATTTTAAGACACCGTGTATTATTAATCGTCCAACGCAAAGTTCAAATGTGGATTGTGAAACGAAGCCAAGTCACGATATATAATATAAGCTGGCGTATAAATTTCTTCGACTACTTGACGCCTGGCGATCGTCCACTTCCTTACGATTTTATCTGATTTTATTACCCTCGATATCAACCCGAAACTTTCCATTATCGATCCTTGGCTTTAAAGCACAATGGAACGATTGTTCGAGGTAATGGAGAGACAGTTTCGATTTAATGGTGGACTTTTTGGATGAACGATCCTAGAGGAAATTGGAGTTGCATCATTCGAGTAGAAGTCTCAGTAGAAGTGGACCGTATGTGATCAGACTTCCGCTGACTCCCAGACTTGAACCAGAGTTTCAAGTTCACTGATACCTCATTTGTAATCCAAACAAAACAATGCCTTAGTGAGTCTAAATTTTTCTTGCTGTATGGTTTCCGACAGTTAGTAGTAAATTTCTCAATACTCCGCACTTCGCCCATTATCTCGTCTCTCGTTTCCAATGCGAGTGCTATTTATGCTCATAGCTCGGGTGAAAAGATCGATACACCCCTTTCTGGACTTCGAAGCGCATCTGAAACGATTCCCGAGATTCGCCGCGACTGCTTAATTGAAAATTAAAGGGGAGGAGGTTTAAGTGGCCGCCCGTAGACGTAAATACGCTGCGGCGAATGAGAAACTAGACGGACCGTGACCTGGTAAGCTGCTCTGTAATCTTAGCGGTTTCTCGGGGTTCACCTTCTTTGGCTCCACCCTCCTGTTAGATCTTTCATATTTCCTTCCAAGATTTATGTCACGATGCGATTTTCTACAATACTTAGCCGAACGCTTGGGAATCTCGGCTTTTCCCGCCGTGGAATGCTATCGAGAAGGTTCTAGATTGGGCTACTTTAAACCCTTATTATTTAGGGGAGACTGGTCGGTAGGAACAATTAAAATCACTTAAAAATTGTTAGCGAGTTTGCAACACTCGAGATTGGAATTGCACAGAATCTTCAAGTGTACGACCATTATTATCAACCTTAGTAATTGTTAGGCGACACAGGACGTGCAAGCTCGCCCGAACCCAAAACGTTTCTCTAAGAGCAATAGTGGACTCAACACCTCCGCATCACCCTAGTTTCATAGCCATTCAAGATTCCACGATACACTTCGATGGCCTCCGTCTATTCGTCGTCGTGCATTTTCGTATTCGCGCGCGTTATCATCGCGTCTCGCCATGCAATCACATTACTCCGAGTCTACTTAACTCTGAAACGGTTCGCAACTCCCATGGTGCAGATT